GCTATTTTTGAACGACCAGTTGTAAATCTGGCTGCTTTTAAAAATCACCCGTCTTGCACCAATGATATTTTATTGGGCCCAACGATAAAAAGGGCTTTTGGAATCTTTACACAAATAGCTGACCGGATTTATGGTTTTTTTTAATTGATATACGTTAATTATATTTATTTATACATATATTATTCATGGACTCAGAGGCGAAGCCAAGATTTGAAACCTATGGGTTCGGGGTTCTAATCCTTTTAAGTTACTGGATTCTAAAATTAATACTTTGTACATATTCAATGAATTTCTTAAGACAAATACATTGATTGGACCAAACCGAGATTGGGTTCGGCCGAACCCGTACTCGATGGGCTAGCTCCCCCCTACATGGATTATGAATATATTATACATTCACTGGGTAGACTTAGTTTAAGTAGTTGGTGAGCGACTATTTAGGTTAATTATTATTATTCTTCTTCTTCTTCTTTTTCACATTTGAACTGAATTATGCCGGTTTTCTTAGTTTGGTTCAGGCAAGAAGCATGCAAGTTCAGTGGTTCATATGAAGGATCTAATGTAGTCGTTTACTAATTCTAATTAGATTAAACGGGACGCACGTATACAACTGGACGAGGAGGGAAATGACTGTACAAAATTCAGCTATATTTTAGAAACTTCACTTTGAATTTCCCTGCTAACTTTAACTTGATTAAGGGCCGGCGCGTATTAACTATTTGATAAATCTGAAAAGAATTTTACAACGGCGGATATGAATGTGAAAGTGTACCAGTTTTTCTGAGAAGATTAATTAATTGTAATCTAAAGACTTCTCACAGAATGGCTCCCGAATCAAAGATCAAGTTTAGTAAATTAAACAATTCTAAAATCAAGCTGAAGAAGTAAGGATCTTCCTGATCTTGCTTAGAGAACCATGAAATTAGTATTAGAGGATTGCGTAAATTAGAACTTACAAGCACATGGACAATCCCCTGATAAATGGCAGTTTAGACATCTGGTTTCCACTTAAGTTGAATTATGAAAGATAGGCTTCTTTCTTCAACTGTACCGTTACTTTATATACTACTCCCTCCGTTTCAATTTACGTAGACCTATTTGATTGAGCATGGAGTTTAAGAAAAAAGAAAATTTTTGAACTTGTGGTGTAAAATGAGGCACATATATTTTTGTGACGACCCGCAATTCCCACCTTCGTGACCGTAATGACGCCTAACATTTCACTTGCTAGGCAAGCCAACGTTAGAGGATCTTAAGCCAATTTTAACCAACTCCAATAAACAAAATCAACTAAGCCGAAATAAAACTAAAACTGAGTGCGGAATAATATAAAAGCCAATAATATCTAATATAACCCAAATCTAGAGTCACAATTCACGAGCTTCTAGAATTTTCTATAAACAGAGTCTAAAATAAGTACAACTGTCTCGAATGAAAAGAGCGGTATACGGAAAATGGAAGGGGGTTTCAAGGTCTGCGGACGCCAACAGATCTACCTCGAGTCTCCAAGTCAGCCAATACGAGCTGCTACGCCTCATGAACAGCTGGGGCTTGTACCAAAGTTTGCACAAAAAGTGCAGAGTGCAGTATGAGTACAACCGACCCCATGTACTCCGTAAGTATCGAGCCTAACCTCGACGAAGTAGTGATGAGGCTATGACAAGACACCCACGTATATAACTTGTGCAAATAACAATATACGTACAAGATGACAACAAATAAAGGCTAAACATGTACTATTGGGAGGGGACATGCAAAAGGGGTACACGATACGATAAAATACAGCAGGAAAAAATAACCAGAACAGTCAATATGCCTTTAACCAGCAACACAGATAAACACAATGAATAAAAACTGTACGGCATCACCCTTCGTGCTTTTACTCTCAGCCTCACAATGGAACAATAATACTACACAGCATCACCCTTCGTGCTTTTACTCTCACTTTGATCATAAATCAATAGGTGTGGCACGACATCACCGTTCGTGCATTAAATCTCAAAATATGGCACGACATCACCCTTCGTGCATTAACTCTCACAATATGGCACGGCATCACCCTTTGTGCATTAACACTCAAATACGGCACGACATCACCCTTCGTGCATTAACACTCTCCCTTACCGTATAACAATGAACATATAACAACAAGGAGATAGAATGAACAAGAACGAGCCTTACGTCAAAATGGTTCCACAATACCAACCTCAACTATAGAACAATGCTCAATTATCACAGAAAGCCCAAACATGCGGAAAGAACGATCAATTTGATAAGTAACTAGTCTAAGCATGGATAACATGATCAAGTAGGCAATAAATTATAAGGAACAAGTCCCACCGGCATGCTTTAACACAACAACAATGCATAAGTACTTGTCACCTCACATATACGTTGTACCCAACACCTAAACATGTAGCAGATAGGCAAACAAATCCTAATCCCTCAAGTCAAGGTTAACCACGACACTTACCTCGCTTCAAGGATCAACTCAAAGCTCAATCACAACTTTGCCTTTCAACAAGCCTCCGAACCAACAAAATCTAGCAATTTACCAACCAAACGATTCAAATTAAGCCTTAGGAACTACCCACGATTGCAAAAGATTCAATTGAAGTCAATATTTAAAAAGTCAACAAAAGTCAACTCCCCGGCCCGCTTGGTCCAAACCCGTAATTCGGACCCAAACTCGATTACCCATTCACCCCCGAGCCCGATTATGTTATTTGTTTTGAAATCCGACCTCAGTTTGCGGTCTAAATCCCAATTTTATAAAAATTCCTAATTCTACCCAAACCCCCAATTTCCACCATGAAAATACTAGATTTTAGGTTGAAATCTTAAATGTAATGAAAGATAAAAAGAAAATAGGCTAGAATCACTTACCAATGGATTGGGGAAGAAAGATTTTTGGGAAAATCGCCTCTAGGGTTTTCTTGTTTTGAAAATTTGAAGAATGAGAGAAAATCCCGTCTAACTTGAATTTGACCAGTTGCAGATGTCGCAATTGCAACCTGGGGTTCGCAATTGTGAACCCCGCAAATGCGAGAAAACCATCGCAAATGCGAAGTCTCAGCATCTCTACTATCACCGCATTTGCGATGATTTGTTCGCAAATGAGAACAATGACCTTCCGCAATTGCGACCAAAATGATCGCAAATGCGATCAAGCCCCTCCCAGTCCCACTTTGCAAAAGCGAAGTCTGGTTCGCAAATGCGAAACCTGAGATGCCCCAGCTACTCTTCGCAAATGCGATGGAGTAGCTCACAAATGCGAACCTGACAGAGGTCGCAAATGCGAAGCCTGACCTCGCAATTGCGAGGTCTGAGGCCTGCGCCAGAACTGAAGCACACCAGCACATTGGTAAGTCCAAAATTCGCTCCGTAGCCTATCCGAAACTCACCCGTGCCCTCGGGGCTCCAAACCAAACATGCACACAAGTCCAAAAACATCATGCGAACTTGCTCGCGCGATCAAATCACCTAAATAACACCTAAAACTACGAATTGAGCACCAAATGAAAGGAAATTTTCAAGATAACTAATGAACTTCTATTTTAACAACCGGACATCCGAATCACGTTCAACCAACTCCGTTTCTCATCAAATTTGACAGACATGTCATAAATATAGTAGTGGACCTATACCAGGTTTCGGAACCAAAATACGAACCCGATATCAATAAAGTCAAACATTGATCAAACTTTCAAAGTCATTAAGCCTTTAAACTTTTAAATTTCAACAAAAAGCGATAACTCGAGCTAGGGGCCTCCGAACTCGATTCCGGGCATACACCCAAGTCCCAAATTACGATACGGACCGACCGGGACTGTCAAAATACGGATCCGGTTCTGTTTGCTCAAAACGTTGATCGAAGTCAACTCAAATGGATTTTTGAAGCAAAATTTCATATTTTATCAGTTTTTAACATAAAAGCCTTCCGGAAAAATACCCTGACTGCGCACGCAAGTCGAAGAAGGCTTAAAGAAGCTATTGGAGGTTTAGAAACACAGGATTAGGTTCTAAAACTCTAGATGACCTGTTGGGTCATAACAATTTTGTGTGGCTACACATTATTGCATAAATGTAAATTGTTTCTAAATAGAAAGGACTCATTCTTTTTAGTACGGACTAAAAAGGAAATAAGTTCACATAAATTAAAACAGAGGGAGTACTTGCTCATCAAGTTAATCATGAGAGATGTACGGAAAACACTCAACATACATTTAGATGGTTCCTTCTGTCAAATCTTATGTTAATCCTTAACGTAAACAAGCAGGTAGCCGCCAAATTCATAATCATGTATTTGACCCTTTTTGTTTATTTTAATTTTACGCGTCGCACATTACTGCCCAAGCAATACAGCTAGGTCAATCTTACATTATGCAGAACAAATGAAGAATTCATACTTTACCTTGAAGAACGCCATCAAAAATTATAGTAGTATATTATTATCAGACTCTTTGACATAATGACATTATGATTGATAAATAATATTCCCTCCGGTCCAAAATAAGTGATTTTTTGGCCTTTTTCTTGTGGTCCAAAATAAGTGATTTTTCCAGATTTCAAGAATAAATTAATTATTTTTTTTCCTACATTGTCCTTGGAGTAAATAGTGTTGGAATATGTATTAGGAGTGTTTATGTGAGATAGTAAAGGTTAATATGGTCAATTCCATTGCTAATTAATGCTAAAAGATGAATTTCTTTGTGTGAAAACATCTAAAAAATTACTTATTTTGGACCGGAGGGAGAACTATTCACATGGATGCAGCACAAGACCAGAAAGAGTATTATCCCTCTCTCTCCATATATATTGAGTGCAATGGCAGTCATGTACAAACCAAGGATCACAAAATGAAGTAAAGACATTGGTGTTTTGGATATCAGCCTTGACTTTCTTATCTTGTGATTGCATTTCTTATTGTTATTTTGTTTCCCATTTCAAGAAGCAAACTGACATTTAACATCAGACATTCCATTTCCTTCCCATTTCAGATTTGTTTCCACTAGTATAAAAAGACAGAAACGCCATCATTAAATGATCCGTCATTCCAATCGTTTTCCGTGTAAAAATACTTCTAACAACACAACATTTCCAACAAAACATACCATACCACAATGACATTTTATAAGCTCAATTCTTTGGTACTTTTTATATTCTTTTCCTTCTCTTTGTTCCTACACGACTCCTATTCCATTGAAGAACAACCAAGTGATGATATTAACTGGTGGTGTAGCACTACTCCTCATCCTGAACCATGTAAGTACTTCATGGCCGATGTTGCCCCCGAACGTTACAAACCGAAAGGTAAAGAAGAGTTTCGAACCATGACCACCGAGGCCGCCTTGGAGCAAGCCCTCCTAATACAAAGCCAAGCAAAAAAAATGGGCCAGCACTGCCGCGGAAAACGAAAGAAACTAGTCTGGATGGATTGTGACAAGCTCATTGACGACACCATCCTCCAATTAAACCGTACTCTTCATGGCATCCAATTCAACTCCACTTCCTGTTCCGATTTCGATGCTCAAACTTGGCTCAGCGCATCGTTAACAAATATTGAAACATGTCTATCAGGTTCAAATCAACTCAATGTCTCAAATGTCCTACATCCAACTTTATCCACTAATGTCTCTCAATTGATTAGCAATAGTTTGGCTATTAATGGGGAGCTTGTGGATTCGCAAAATTCAACACAAGTAGATGGATTTCCAAGTTGGGTTACGGCTAGGGAAAGAAAGTTGTTACAATCTACAACGAGGAGCTTAGCTTCAAAGGCAATTTACGTGGTGGCTCAAGATGGATCAGGGAATTTTCGGTCTATTCAGGCTGCAATAAATGCAGTCTCAAAGAAAGTTACAAATCAGAGGACTATCATATATATTAAAAAAGGTGTATATAGAGAAAATGTGGCTATAGGGCCTGGAATTAGTAAGATTATGTTAGTTGGTGCTGGTTTGAGATACACAATTATTACAGGTAGCCGAAGTGCTGCTGGAGGTTTCACAACTTACAGTACTGCAACTGTTGGTACGTCCCCTATCTCTCTCCACTTTAATTTTTTTTTTTTTTTAAACTTTTTTACGTTTCTGGGTAAAAAAAATTTAACTTTAGGATGGGAATAGAGTAATGAAGAGTTGAATAGTGGAGTATCATAGAAGGACCTTGTTAGAGAAGTAGCAAGTAATAGGCAAGGTCTAATTTATTTAATTCTAGTTCATGAAGTAAAGCTAAAGATATATGAGTATATGCTGTTTTGGTGGGGGCGCTTTCCTGCAATATTCATATGCTTTAACGTGATATGCCATTCTTAGGCTTCTTCGCGAAGGCAATCTGTATTTAGAGTTATTTAATATATGATCTGTTATATCAGATACTTTGATTGGAATAGGTACGTACTATCGTTCTGCTTTGTTTTTACTATAAACAAAACAAAAACGTAATTACTTCGTTGTTTCATAACGTATAGCAAGGATGGTTATGAAACTGTATTAAAAATTTGTCTGAATTAATTTCAAAACGAAAATTCCTTTATCAATAACGTCAGAGTTTACTTTCAGAAAGTTCTCAAGAGGAAAAAGCTTTAAATTTCAGCCAAGGTAGACTGAAATATCACTAAAAGGACCATCTTTTGAAGTATATATTGCCATTCATTTAAGACAGAAATTTCGCAACGTTGTCACTTCATCATCTTAGTTCGGTTTAAGAAATTGCGTTTAAAATTTATATTTGGCATTATTGATTGCATGTTAAGACTTGTCCTACTTCTAGAAGAAGGATTCTTTTTCAAAGGAACCATAGTGATCTAAGTAATGATCTGGGACAATAATATATATCAGTATTGCTTCTATATCAAATAATTCCCATGAGTTATAACCATGCTTTGTCCAACAAATACATGGTTTTGGGCTAGGTTAACCATTTTGAATAATACTATCAGGTCAGCTAACTAAATGTTCATACAATGTATGATTATTTAGTAACCTTAGGGGTCGATCGTTTGTTACGCGGACTAAATTATTCCGGGATTAGTCCTGGATTATAACCCTTAAGCAAATTTATCCACATGGGCTGTGAGATAAAATAATAGTATAAAGTTTGATGAGATAAGGTAGGATTAAGTCTGGGACTAAGTTTATACTCCCCGCGTTTCAATTATGTGAACCTATTTGATTGGCACAGAGTTTAAGAAAAATAGAAGACTTTTGAAATTGTGGTGTAAAATGAGGCACATATATTTTGTGCGGCTATAAATCATTGCATAAAGGTAAATTATTTTCAAATATAGAAATAGGTCTTTCTTTTTGACACAGACTAAAAAGAAAATATGTTCACATAAATTGACACCGAGAGTACTAGGTTTGGTTGACGATATAAATTTATCACAGGATAAATTTATACCGTCTACCAAACATAGTATAAATTTAGTACCACACTTTATTCCACCTTATCCCGCGTACCAAACGACCCCTTAAAAATAAGGCAAGTTATGTGCTAGTACTATAATAGTTAAGATTATATATATCTATAATGCTTATACTGTTGCTGCATAGATGTAAATTTAAGTCTTAATCACTTCTTTAATTTTCCATAAAAATGGTGTTTCAGGGGTAGATGGAAATGGATTCATTGCTCGTGGCATAACATTCCGAAACACAGCAGGTCCAAAAAATGGTCAAGCAGTAGCTCTCCGATCAGCATCTGATCTTTCAGTATTCTACGCCTGTGGCTTCGAAGGTTACCAAGACACAATCTTTGTCCAATCCCAACGACAATTCTACAAAACATGTCATATATATGGGACAATAGACTTCATATTCGGCAATGCCGCTGTTGTTTTCCAAAATTGTATCATTTTTGTCAGAAGACCCCTAGTTGGCCAAGTCAATGTGATCACAGCTCAAGGCAGAGGTGACCCTTTTCAGAACACTGGAATATCAATTCACAATTCGAGAATAACAGCATCACCGAGCCTTAAGCCAGTGGTTCGAACATTTCAGACATATTTGGGTCGTCCGTGGCAGGAATATTCAAGAACGGTTATAATAAGGTCTTATATTGATGGTTTGGTTAATCCATCAGGATGGTTACCATGGCTGAATTCTGATTTCGCATTTAAAACTTTGTATTATGGGGAGCATGGTAATTGGGGTCCTGGTGCTTCGACTAGAAATAGGGTGAAGTGGCCTGGTTACCATGTTATAACCAATACAAACGAAGCTTCAAAATTTACTGTTGCGAATCTCATAGGTGGTCGCTCATGGCTGCCTTCTACTGGTGTGCCATTCACCGCAGGGCTGTGAATTGATATTATATATTATTTGTGTAATATTCTAATTATTTTCCATTGATTATTTTGTACATGTATCGTGAACATTGTGAAAATATTCTACTATAGTATCGATAAGTATTATTTATCCTTTTTACTTGCTTTCTTGTTAATTTGATCTCTATATAATGTCCCATCCACCCCTTCTCACACATGTGTGGCTCGACTATAAGGTCACTAAAGCAATCGCTTAGGGCCTCAACTTTTTGCGGGCCCCGTTTCTTCCTTAAAGATAATTGTATATGTATTATTTGAAAAAAATATGTGTACATTTAAATTTAAAAAGAATTTTTGGAGCAAAAATACAATAACTTTAATGTGAGGATCGTTGTAATAATTAGAGAATGGAATATTTTTAAGAGAAATTTTCATAAAGCACTATCTTTTAGTGGTAATTAGCTATCTATAGATACCATTTGCTATATTACGGATTGTAGATATGTTTTCTGTTGTTATAAGATGTATTAGATGTATTCAAGCTACTGTATTCATGAATACAGTAGCAAAAATAGGCGTGAATCAGGGAAGTCCAGCTAATCAGTTGTTGTATTCGAGTGTGTTCGACTGTATTCATGGCGTGAAACATGGGATTACAGCTGGACAGATTATTGTATTCGACTGTATTCAGAGCGTGAAACAGGGGATTACAGCTGGACAGATTATTGTATTTGGCTGTATTTGACTGTATTCATGGCGTGAAACAAGGGATTACACTGTTTCTAAATGGAAGTGAATCAATTAACATAATAGACTCCTAATATAACTCAACAAACTCAATTACAACACACAAATTTTGTAATTCCAGTTATAAAAAAGATTCTCAACCGAAAAATACCCCAAAAATATAGCAATCTTCAGAGAAATTATATAATACAGCTGAATACATAAATTATATTAATTAAAAAAATATGAATACATTCATGGCATATAGCGAGACAGTGAATACAATGAAATACATAGAATACAGCGGGATACATTGAAATACAATGAAAAAAAAGACAGTGAATACAATGAAATACATGGAATACAACGAGATACAGAATTACAATGAAAAAAAAGACAATGAATACAATGAAATACATGAAAATACAGCGTGATACATTGAAAATACATTGAAATATATTAACAGAAAATCAAGTTGCTCAGCCCCAAACTCCGTCGTCTTTGTTCAAGAACAAACCCTAATTTCCGGCGAATCCGCCGTCGAGCAAAAACCCTGAATCTCATTGTTCCCAACATATATGTATATACAGCCATTGGAGACCCTATGCCAAAGATAGCAGGCATAGCAAAATTGGACTTATCAGTAGCAGAAGCTGATTACCTGATTGTCAATGGTGATTGTCACAATCCAGGAAGTCACAATCTCCTTCATTGTTTCTGCTCTAACGCTGTTAAGTCCTCTAGCAAAACCGACCCCATTACTGCACCCACTAGGATATGGGTGGCTGAGATAGGTAGCCCCAACTTGGATGCGAATAATACTACCGATGCAGCTGCAAATCCTCGTGTTGGCGTTATTTCTGTTATCTTCTTTCCGATAGTTGAAATCACTCTGTATCCCCACATTGCGTTAATTCTATTATCTTCTTTCCGATTGCAGAAGCGTGTGTTTTCAGGGAATGGGGAAGAGAATGGCATGTATCAAAATAGAGAGAGAAAGAAAATAGTGTAACTGAATATCGTATTTAGTGGCTTAGGGGTAGGAGGTAACCAAAATTAGATATTTTGCTATAACATTAAAAGGTATCTATAGAATATAATTTTTTAAAATGATATTTATTTAAAATAAATAAGGTGTTAACCTTTGCTATATGAGGTAAAAATTCCTATTTTTAATGAATTATTTCCTTTCATGGGTAGGGCTGCTAATTTTTTTTGGGCCTCATTTATATTCCAACAACTAATATAGGCCCACATTAATATTTATATATTTACCTTTTTCATTCTCTCTTTACTATTCTTATTCTCAATATTGAAAAGTCTCTAAATTGGCAACTTACCGCGGCTTACAAGTTGTCTTCTCAAAGCATTACAACAAGCATTCATTATATTGAAGCAATGCAACACTTTTCGATATCATTATATCAACTTATCTTGCTTTATAGTTTCTTACCCTTTGATTTATGCTATAATTTGTTTCTTGTACTTCGATTATCTTATTTATCTGTGATGGTTGCTACTCCTTTTTAAACTGCTTTATCATGACTTATTCGCTTTCGTTACTTTCATTTTCATACTGCATTGAATTGATTGTCCTTATCTGACCATTTTTTTTTGTCATGCTTTCTCTTGAGTCGAGGATTTTTCGGAAACAATCTCTCTATCTCCCAAGATAGAGGTAAGATCTGCGTACACTCTATCTCCCAGACCCTACTTTGTAGGTTTTCACTGGGTATGTTGTCATTGTATATCACTTATCAAATACTTGAGCTAGTTTTATTATTCTACTAATTTATACCTTTTCATTGAAAATTTATCGTTGATATTCTTACTTAGGGTCTCTCTCTAAAATTTGGCTTTAGGCCCCAATCTTATTGAGACGGCCCTGCTCTCACATGTCAAAAGTTCCAAATAAATTAAAGGGAATTTTACGAAATGTTCAAAATAAGTCAAACTTACCAAGCTCTAGCCATTAATCATAGACTTACCAAAATTAGCCTTCTCTCCAAAAATCACACGCAAAGATCTCCTCCCATATTTTCAAGCGTGATCAACAACATTAGATGCATGATGGAAAGAAAATTTTATGGATGAGATAGCAAACAAGGTGATGAAACACAAAGGAAAAAAAAAATAAGATTCCAAAAACCTAAACAAAAAGGGACCTTTTTCAATGGGTATGCTTGAAATTCATTGAAAGCTATACAAGGTCGATATACGGAATTTGAGGAAGATTGAATGTGATTTGGTATCAAAATTCATTGTTAAAATCGAGTTTAAAAAGTTCTTCTGCGACACATGTATCTCACACACATATATACATATGATACACATTTGATACAAATATGATATATATGTGATATACAAATGATACACAATGTGATACACATTTCATCTTTTCCATGTTCATCTTCTGCTTTACTTTTCAATTCAAAGTACCTCAAAACCTCACCAAATCATCACAAAACTAAGATTCAAAGTCCTTAGGATGTACCCAATCTATTCCAACAACATCCATTCAAAAGAAAGCAAAATTTTGATATTTTTTTTGTTACAAAAAAAATAACTAATTGGAAAATATTGGTAGCATTTAACTAATATTGATAATATTTTGTGAATTAACTAATCTTTATCTAATTTACTTATGGGCTGACATAACTGATAGTTTATCTAAATTGAATCCCAAGTACACATGGCGGATTGGCCCAATGTATATGTCATAGCTGTCCAGGCCCTGGGGATTCTAGATCAAACTCGTCTGGTCAAGTGGAACTAAACTCTTAATTAATGTAAATTTGACTTGGTTTTTAAAGCCAAGTCAACTTCACACATTAAACACGACGAGGAAAAAAAAATAACCAAGAGCATGCACATGACGGAGACGGAGACGGAGCCATGTAATATTTTCGTGGCAAAATACATAAGTACCCACCTAATCTATGACCCAAATTCTCCTTACACACTTTTTGTGGACGATAATAATATTACACACGCAACCTTTTTAAAGTGTAGCTAATACACACCATTTTTTTCTTGACCAGCTTTTCAAAATATGTGTAAGCTCACGCGCCAATAAAGTCGTGACACGTATCCTAACTCGAGAAAAAAAATACTAAATTTACACCTATTGATAATATTTAAAAGAAAACAAACAAAAAAGAAAGAAAGCCCCCTCTCCCACGTTTCTCCTCTTCTTCTGACCCCCAATACCCGTCGATCTCCTCCTCTAAACTCCAACAGCCATGGCAAATCCCCACCAGAACAAAATATCAACATGAATCAAGCACCTATCCATACTATTGAGTATTGAAGCACCCAAACTTATCAAATTTTGAAATTTCTATTTACGAAAATCAAAATCAAAATCTGCAACTTTAGATTCTATTTCAAGTTTAAAATACATAAAAATGCTAGCTCTTTGCTGGAGGAAAAGAAAAAGTAAAGTTCTTTCGTCTTTAATAGCTGGAAACAATAGTGGCGTTGTACCTGCACCGTTAAGTTCTTTCTCCAGAGTATATTTTAGCAAACAAAAGAAACAAAAATATAACATGTGCCGTAAAGTTCTTTCGCCGGAGTTTACTGTGTTATCCGATGAGATTAACTGAACAGTACCATGAGAAAAGAAAATGGAGGCTAGAGAGACATTTTTTTGGTAAAAAGAAAAAGGATAAAAAGAAAAGAATTATGTAGGCCATCAGATCAACTTTATTAAATCTGAGCCGTTCGAATAAAGCTGCAGATGGGCATGTTGACAAAACATGTACAGATCTGACGCGCTCACTTTTATTTGTTAAACACGCGCGCCCCATCTGACAAAAGTAGTGTGTCTTAGACACACTTTACAAAGGTTGCGTGTGTATTGTAATTTTTATTCGCAAAAAGTGTGTAAGGGGGATTTGGGTCATAGGTCAAGTGGCAACTTATGTATTTTGCCTATTTTCGTTATTCCATATTATATATGTGAGAAAAAGAACTTTTAATAAATAAGCTAAAGACACGTAAAGTATCACAATTACCGTAACTTTCAACAGTTAAATGAGTAATGATAAGAAGTTTATATTTGTCTCTTTTCATAGATAAAGTTTTAATATGAATCGAGCTTTAACAAAATATGTTATTGAGGATTAGGACCGATTAAAATTAGTGAGAAGTATGTGACTTACAAAATTTAAATGTCAGCGTTTTGTCCCGTGGTAGTAGTGCTTTCTGCAGACTGCAGTTGCTTTGTTTTTTGATTGGTATGCACGCCACCAACTCATCCTACGCCGCCCAGCGAAGCTTCCTTAAAAGTTCTCGGTCCCTAGAAGTTGAAAAAATGTCAATTCACCAAACAGTCCAATATATCTTAAACTATGCATAATCCATTGGGCTTCTTAGTTTTATCTCTTAAAAGTCCCACCTAGTGGCGGATTCACCCTAAGGGTGAGGTGGTAT